TCTAAAATGAAGTCATGCTTAATAGTATATGCTAGTATTAGAGCAAGTGATCATATATATTCTCTCTTTTTTCGTTTTTAAACAAATGAGAAAACTCAGTGATATGTTCAGTTTAACAAACTGTGCTTTCTAACATGTGCTAGGAGTTGGGAACACTGAAATAAATAAAATAAGACCCCTGCCCTGAAGCAGTTCAAACTTGGCTAAGATCATCACTGCCATTATGTGATGGAGCCAGGGCCAAAACTTAAATCTTCTAACTCCTAGTTCAGTTATTTTTCTACTACATTCCAGCCTAAGGGATGAAAAAAATGAATGACAAGGTCATTACAGAAAATGAATTCATAAAGTCAAATAAGTACATGTGGAGACCATCCAAAGCCTTTGCTTCGTTTCTCATATTAACTTTTAATATGTATACGGGACAAAACAAAACAAAACAAAACAAAACAAACCTCAAAACCTCTTTTAATCCAGAGTTAAGTTCAATATCCTTTAAAATTATACATAAATGTTTTTTTTCCATTCTGACTCCCTTGATAATCAACTTATTTCCTGAAGCACTAGATTTAATTATATTTATCTTGGCTGGAATTCAGTAACTACAAGTGCATTAATTGGTGTTATTGCCTGGACACAGGCGTTTAACTGATTCCTCTTGTTACAGAGGCAGCAACAAATGAATATATTAAGTTACATTTTAAAAGAAAATGTCCTTATTTTAAAGTTTCTAGCAATTAAATGTTAGAAAGCACAAAAATTAAAGACTGCACATATCCTGGCAATCTGTATGAGCCAATTGGAACAAAAAGTATACTTCATTTGTTTAATATGTATGCTGTATTTATGAACTTACTCTGAAAGACATTTCTATATTTTCACCTCCCCAGATTTCCATTTCTTCATCATAAGTTCCAATATGTTCAAAATATTCTTTTGATATGGAAAAAAGGCCTCCAGCAAAAGTGGGTGTCCTGAAAAATAATCCATTGTCAAACTTTTGTTATAAAAACCAAATGAGAAAAAACATATTTAAAGAGCAACTGAATCAAATTCACAGACATTAAAGAGAGATCACAATTTCAAAGCTTTTATACAGATTAACAAAAACTAAAAATGCTATCTTCAAAGTCAAGTTGTGTCGGGGAGTACTTTAAGCATCCTTACCCAACAGGGCAAAACTATTATGAAGTGTCTTCTAACCAAGCTTAAAGATTCTTAAGAAATGATTATGAAGAAGACTTAAGAGCTCACCTATTTCTACTTCTTACTCAGTCACATCATGTGTAAGTACATAAATAAGTGACTTATCTTTTCCCTGCTATAGAATGTTTGTGTTCTTTGTTAGGGGGAATTACCTTGGAGGCAATTACTGTAAAGAACAAAGCCTGCATACATATTCAAATAACTGAACTATATACATAAGACTTTGAGAGCGATCATCTTACTTAATTGGGTAGGTTTCATCTTTCCTTCTTTGCCTCTCATGATCGGGAAGTGATTCCCAGCCAAATGAGAGGCTCCAGTCAAAATTTCCACGGTTATGGTTACTTCCATAAGGAGAAGGTTTGTTGAATTCAAATGTATTCATGTCTATGGATGCAATATCTGGACTCACCACAGCAGTGTAGTTCTCAGCTATTCTGGCCAACAAAGGTTCTAACCAACCATAGAAACACTCACCTGGAAAGAACACAATTTTAATTAATTCAGTGAAAACACTGAGGGCTTCTTCTGTTTGTTTCTTGGAAGCGAGTTTACAGAGAAATGAGAATAACAGTCATTTGTGTTTTGACATTTATAGAGGGGAGATTTCTTAAAGGTATTGTGTGATAAGGGTAGGATGAAAAATGTAAAGTAAGATTCAGCATAGTCAGGAAAATTTCCCTACAAGGGAAGCAAAANGTGTGTGTGTGTGTGTGTGTGTGTGTGTGTATCTCCATGCCATTTCAGAATAACACCTTAACTATTCAGCGATGAATCCTGTTCGCTAGCTATGGCTTCTGGGTACCTGTGTCATCTGCCCCAGTGGATTGGTTGGTTTGAATGAGTAAGGATTGGAATTATTGGGTTGTCAGAAAAGTCATGACACATTTTTGTGATGAAAACCACAGAAAAATACGTCATGACTTTTCCAACAACCCAATAGATTAAACTGATGTTAATGAGTAGGAAACACATAGAAGAGGAGGATGGACCAGGAGATACACTGACCCTTTCTTCAACATCAAAGTCCCATCCAGTTAAAATAAGACATCAGGAGTATTTAATGTTGTGAAAACCCTCCATATACTCCCTAGACTCTGCACCAAAATACCTATAATTCTACCAGAAAAAGACATACCAGCTCATCTCATCAGAACACCTTCCTGCATGCTCTTCTCATCCCATTCTCATTCCCAGGAGCCACCTCACTAATTCCTAGGCACCTTACAAAACATGTTTTTAAATGTCATCTTTCCCAGAAAATGGATGGGCACCCAGTCTAATTGAGGTTCCCTTCTCTATAGCCCCAGAGCACTCTGAATGCTTTATTCCAGACCTTGTCATCCTTACTATAACTGCTGGTTTTGAAATATCGATTTCCTGAAGGACTTAAGATATAAATGCTTGAACCCAGCATAGTATCTGGCATGTGGTGGTCACTCAGTGAATTTGTTGAATGAATAAATGAGAGAAAAAGGTCTAATCATGCCAGCAATTAACTTATAGAAAAGGCAAGAAAACGTAGCTAAAAACTAGGAACAACATTTTCATATGTTCTCTACCCTTAGTAGGCCAAATAGTAGTGACATTTGAGTCTAAACTGGTAAAACAGCCCAAGAGTGGTAATAAGCAGAGATGTCATTAATCAAGGAGAATCAAGATCAATCTTTTTTTTAGAACATTTACTGTGGCCCACAAAATAACTTAGAATGCTGCTCTTTAGGTGTTAACACAATGTAATTTGCTATTGAATCCAGTTAGACATACCCTTTATGTAAAATTTTACAAAATCACCATGCCACTAGTGACACAACATCAAAATCCACAAAAAGGATCCCATTTTCCTTTCAGATGGCATTATTCTATTATTTTCTCATTTGCCTTTCTACTGAATGGGTAAGCAACTTCAAATTATTTGCAGAGCCACAGTGGAAAGCAAAATAAAGTACTCTGCAACTTCAATATAAATTGCCAAACAATCTAAAAACATTCACACACCAGCTTACCTAATTGTAACACTGATTTAGGACTTCTGAAAAATACGCAACAACTGACTTGCATTTGTCAGTGTTAATGAGAAGGGAGGCTTTTTAATGCAGTGCTCACCTGGTTTCCCCCGAGTCCATGGCACGTATACAAAATTAATGGTTTGCCCCCTTGATTATTTTCTCCAACATCCAGACATAAAGGCTGACCAAAACTTTTAATCTAAAGGAAAAATGTCAAGTTACAAACATTTTAAAATATATAATGTGAGATATATATATATATATACATATATATATGTATATACATATATATATGTGTATATATATATATACATACATATATATATAAGTATATACATATATATATTTACGTATTGGGTTGTTGGAAAAGTTATGAAGCATTTTTGCAATGAAAAACAGAAAAAACATGTCACAACAACCATATATATATTTATATTTAATATATTATATATTTTATGTATTTATATATTATATATTTTTCTTCAATTTCAAGAAGTAGTGTAAATAATAATAAAGTAAAATCTCAAAAGCAATAAACCAGAAAGTATTTCAGCAGTTTTCCCTGAACCACTTAAATGCTGGTGGCAAGGAGTACACCAAGTAAAAAGGAACAGGAAAATACTCACATATCCAGATATAACAGGATTAAGGTCTGGCACATATACTTCTGGATAAATATTGTTCAGATACCATGTAAAATTTTTACATTGAAGGCGGTGCTTAATTTCAAATCTTTTTGAAAGATCACCAAATGACTTCTGGAGAAAGATGAGAAGTAAAGGGAAGGCTTAATCAAAACAGCACTGATAAAATACTTCAAATGATACTATTTGTACTTATCTTCAGGCCTTAAAAATTGTTTTTCTCAGGGAAATGCAAGGTGAAATTTAGCTGCATTCACCATTCGTTCAGGCAACAAGTATGTCTGCTGGCTCATTTCTGGCTTCAGAGAGAGTCAGGTACCACTGTGGTGCTGACCTAGTGCTGTTTTATCCTTCCTTTGTGCCATACACACACACAAAGATCTCTAGCAAAATGGTATGGGCAAAGAAATGGTAGTGGGAGCACTCAAAAATCGGTCCCAATTTTATACCCCAAAATGGTCTGTAAAATGAGGTGCGAGAAAGCAGGTATAGAGAACCAGTGCCATCATATCATGAAATTTATATCTCTCTCTAGTCAAGACCACAAAAAAAACAACACAGTTGGGAATAATGTTTTCTAGTTTTAGGGGTGTTGCTTACTCTAATGATATCTTAACAATAACAATTTATTGGTAGAAAAAGGCAAGTTTTTAATGAATTGCATTTTATTTTCCTTTATTTTAAGGGGCTAAGTGAACATTTTTTTTTAAAGCATTATTAAACTGAAAAAGTGTTTAGTCTGTAGGCAAAATTTTAAAGACAAATTATATTTGGTACCTAACTATATGAAGAGGTACATACTTACAAAATATATTTTCTCTGCCAACTTCAAAGTCTTGAACCCAGGTGTTTTAGCAAAAAATATGCAACTCTAAAGGACTTCTGGCTACCTTATGCATTTCACAACGTAGATCTATTTGCCATATGGTAAAAATGGGAGTTTGTTGGCTGACTCAGCCCTTTTGTGGTTCACAAGAGAGCATAACTGTATTTAGTGATCACTTGCCTGCTTAGCCCAGCACCCTTGGGCAGCATACAATCTGCCTAATTTGTCTTGCTGGCCTTGGGCAAAAAGATAACCTCACCCAGTAGTGCTTTGACTTTGCATCAGACTGACATGTTACAGTGAAACACTGGAGACCAAAGAAAAGGTGAAAGAGGCAACATCTTCATGACAGTCAACACGTTGACGCCCTTTAAATCCAGTATATGTCGCCTTCCCAAAAATCAGCACTGTTTCTTATAAAAGCAAGTTGGGTGCCATGCACTGAAGCACAGTCTTAAAACCGTCAAGTTTATTTAGCATGTCCAATATTAAAACTATTGGAACTCAGTTCTCATGCATTAAGCATCACAATTCTGCAGAGCTTTTATCTATGACAGGTCAGTAAAAACAACAGTACCCTACATTTGTTAGCCCTTATTTCCTTATTTCACAGCTATTGTGGGCGACAGGCAAGTATTTCCTCTCTCTCAAGACAGGGAAGGGAGAAGAGACTTGGTTGAGCACGCACTCCATGTCCACCAACATCTCAACGGCCTTATGAAGTGCCACCCCTCATTTACAGCCTCAAANACACACACACACACACACACACACACACACACATTCCTAAAATAAGGAAGGGAAGAATTAAGCACTTTAGATAAGAAAAAAATAATGATTTTCTTTTCTCTCTGCCAGGAAGAAAGGTATGCCTATTACAGAAGCATTATAAGAAACTTTAAGAAGATAAATATGGGCAACTATTCTTACTAATTCACAGAAGCATTGCTCTGCATAAACCATGCTTTAACTAAGCAATTTTACAATTAGTTTGTTCCTACAAATATTTAATTCATAGTATATTATCTTTTATCACATGGGTAAACAAATATAATAACAAAGTTAACAGAGGCTAAGAACTTCAAATGGATAACATTAATACAATATGTTTCATGCATTTTCGCAAATAAGCAATTCAAGCTACTCAAAATAATAATTACATAGAGGGGTGAATTAATTGCACTGAGGTACCTTTTGGATCTCCCATATTTGTTCTCCAGTGGCAACTGTCTTGTGACCTTTGTAGGCACATGCCTTCAGCTGAACGAGACCTTGAGCAGCATGGAGGCATAATTCCTTCTGGATGTTATGCCGAATTTCATGTTGAGCAGAGTATTCGAAGTACTGTGAAAGAAAGAACGTTACTGAGAAAAGCACCCTATATGCTCAGTTGCAAAATAACAGCCCAATAAAAATAAATCAGCAGCTTAATGAATAAGGAAGTCATGTCTACTTCAACAAAATAATATAGTAAAAATAGGTATCAGAAACATAAAGTGAGTTTTTATGATAGAAGATACTATAACCTTTCTCCAGCCTACTACTAACAGGTAGCTACTTAATTAAGAAGGTATTGTCTTCCTCCCCATATTAGAAATTGGAAGTTATCAGGTAGGATAGAGGCTAGGACAGGTTCTCCATAAAAAAGGGCCTGGAAAGCTCTAGCAAGCACGTTAACTGCCTCTTCCTCTCCACAAATGTTCCTTCTCTTTCATTCATCTCAATAACTGGCATTTTCACTTAAACTAGGAACATTTACAAAAGGGTCATGTCCATATCTCAGTTTCATTACCTGTAAGATGGGTACTTGGTAATTTAATAGCTCCTACCCCATAGGGTTATAAAGAGAAATGGGTTAAAAAATGCAAAACACTTACAACAATAACTGGCACGTGGTAGGTATTCAATACACTGCAGCTATTGTTACCATTATTGCTGCTTCTCTTACTCCTACTGAATTTTCCTCTCATTTGTTACCATCCCCACTCAGCCTTTCTT